CTTTATTAACCTTTGTTCCAAACTTTATTCCCAGGCTTCTTCAGCTTAATTAGCTGCAAAGAATGAACTGCGTATAAGCAAAAACTGAAAAGAGCTGCAGTGTCCAAGGGGCGTAGGCTTAAAAATATTAAAGATCTAGATTTTATCAGACCCATAAACAAAACAGAATTTAAAAAAGCAGTCAGAATATAAAATAGCAGCTCCCAGTAACTTCATCAAGTTTATCCCTTTCAGAAGTTGACTCAATTCAGTTTGCCTCATTCTTGGAAGCCTCATCAAAATTCTCCACGAGATCTGGGACTTCATCATCCTCCTCCTCCTCTCCAGTAGCAAGTGGTGCTTCTCCATCCACAGATAGTTTGGGCAGAGCTTCAGTCAGTCCTCCTTAAACTAGTCAGACTGTTTGCCCCAAGCTGGTTTACGATGCTGGGTAGCGTTTCTGTCAGCTGCTTTGTCTCAGCATGGCCTGTAATGGTGAAAGTATTCGCTGCCAGAGATGCCTGAACTTTAGGGTTGTTAAAGTGGATCACTGTTCCCTGGCTTGTAAACATATTCACTTCTTCAATACCAGAGATACTGTTTACCCCTAACTTCTTTAAGGAGAACTGAAGTTTTTTATCATCTGCTGTAGCTGTTCTATGAACCACCTTCTTTTTGTGAACAGTTCCTTTCCCACCAATGCGCACTTGTGCCTGCAGCTTGGTGAGCTTTTCCTGGTTCATGATAGTTTCTTTCATCTTGTCAGAGGGGAAAAGGGGCCACGCGGGGGACTAGGGTTGGCGCTTAGGAGGTCTCAGGCAGACCAGCTGACATTAGGCACACACATGTGGGGATGCAAGATGGCAGCTAGAGGGAGGCCGGAATTCCCTAATGGTTCTTTCTTTAAAAAAAGAATTATTTATTTAATTTTAGTTATCATTATTACTATTTTTAAAATTTGCTACAGGGCACATACACTCACCAGAGAGAGACAGACAGAGAGAGAAGGAAAGTGAGAAAGCTAGTTTCCAAGTGTGGGACTTGAACTGTGGTTAGCCATGTGGGAATCCAGCTGGTTGGCCATGTGGGAATCTAGTGCCCCAGCCCCCACATAGATGATGATACCATGGAGGCCAGAATCTCATCAGCTAACAGTACCACGTGGACATGATCAATGGCATTCTGGGCTTTTCACTCAAGAAGGAGAAAGTTTTTCAGGTAGGAATAAGGAAGATCTCCTCTTGTGACCAGCAGGTGGTGTGAAGGTTAGAGCACCTGGGATCCACACTGCCAATAGTGTGATCTGAGTCCTGGATCCAGATGCTTGAAAATCACACTGGGTGCGTATGCATGTGTGCCCCAAATCCCAAGAGAACGGAGAAGGGATTGCGGGTTTGCTTTCCTCCTGGGGGGGGGGGAGGGGTTGGGAGGTGGTTTCCCACTTTTTCTCTCTCTCTCTCCCTCCAGCAACCACATGCACCCTAAGTAAACCTAGGAAAAAAAGGAAAACAGCAAGCCCCCCTAGCAGAGAGCATTATATAGTACAGGAAAGGACAGTGCTTTCAGGGAATATTGAGGCTACTTTAGCTGGAGCCCGGTGTACGGGGAAGGGAGCGTAGTATCACAGAGATGACAGACACAATGTGTTCTTAAGCAGGGAAGGGATAAGATCAGAGTTGTGTAAGTTTGAGGAACACCTAAAACGTTCCTCACTCATAATCAACCTAGTTGTTTAAATTCTGTGCTGGCTTCTGTGAAAATATAAGTCCTTAAAATCAAATACCTTTGTAAGAAAACATGAGCATTTGTTTTCTTAAGCTCTACAATGAAGATTACATTGAAATAACTCTCAGATGATTCCTTAGTTGTGATCCCTTTGCCCATTTTAAGCATCAAGGGGAATGAGCAGATGTGGAGTAACACTGTGGTTGCCAGTCTCCAGAGTAGTCCTCCACTGATACAGGCCTGTTATTTATGCCTTTGTGTAAGAGTCTCCCACACAAAATAGGACTGACATTTGTGACCAACAGGTATTATCAAAGTGATGGGGTGTGACTTTTGTGGGTAGACCATAAAAGTCATTGAAGCTACTACCTGGCTCCTTGCTCATTCTGAGGAAGGTCAGCCACCATGCTGTAAGGCTGCACCATCAGCCTGCAGAGAGACTTAGGTAGGGAGGACCAAGGCCTCTGGTCTGCAACTAGCACCAGTTAGTATGTTACCTTAGAAGCAGACCCTCTCGCCCCAGTCATCTTCAGGTGATTGTGGCCCAGTTGACATCTTTTTAAAAATGATTTTTTCAAATAATTAATTTTATTATTAATTTGCTATAGGGCACAAGTTTTCACGAGAGAGAGAACGAGTGGGAGAGAGCGAGCAAGCCACCGTCGGCCATGTGGGAGTCCAGTGCTCCAACCACCACTCACCTGCTGGCCCCTAGTCAACATCTTGACTTCAGTCTCTTGAGAGACCTTTAGCTAAAGGCACCCAGCCAAAGTTGCTGAATTTTTAAAAACACTGTTTTAATGTTATTGCTATTTTTAATGTGGGGGGAGAGAGAGAGAGAGAAAAAGCTGCCAGGTCTGGGACTCAAACTCTGGCCAGTGATGTGGGAAACCAGCGTTCCAATCACCGCCACTTGCTGGCTCCAAATGGGGATAATTTCCAAGAACAGCGCCTGGCAACGCTCCGCCAAGACCTCGTTAACTATTTGCTGAATGAAAAATGCACCTTGGCGTACGTTACTTCATCTTAGCACATCTCATTTTAGTCTACATTCGTCTGGATTCGGTCCCCACCCGACCCTGGAAACCCTCTCGCTGGATCTGCAATCAGAGCTGCTGGTTCTCGCGACTGGAGGTGTGGTTTCCTCCGTTTCTGACAGGTGGGAAATAGGCGAAAGGTCTGGACAGACATCACCAGGTGCTCCCCAGATCCAGGGCTGTGGAGCAGATCAGGAGGCCCGGAAGAGGATGCGATGGACTAACACGTGCCAAAGGCTCAATTTCTCACTGCAGGACTGGAAAGTTGCCATCTAGCCAATTTTGCAGTCCACCGCCCATCCCGGTGACGTCACGACCCAGTCAAACTTCTGATTGGAGGAGCCGCGTACGGTCAATTCTCGCGATAATTCTTCCTTGAGGACCCCGCGTCTCTCTCGGCTCCTACGCGGTAATCGATAACAGACCACGCTGTGCGCCATCGAGACACGGTAGAACTCGACCAGTTTCCGGGACTCGTCCAGACGGCTGTGACTCTTCTTGGAAGCCAACGGGCACGAGGTTTGGCTCCCAGGTGGGCCCACGGTAGTGTGTGACTCTCCACCACCGGCTTCGTCAGTTTGCTAAGGCGGCCTGGCGAGTCACACCAATTCTCGTCTTTTCGTATCGCCGGAATCGGGCGGTTGTGAAACTGGTTTCCGGTCGCTTAGGTCTCCATGGAGACAGCTCTTTAAGCTAGTTGCTGCGCTGTCATTCCTGGGACTCCACGTGGTTCGGAGATAGCCCAGAGAATGTTTGTGGGAGTCACCCAGGAAGGTGTAGATGGGAATGAGGCAGCGTTCGAAAGGGAAGCAGTAGGGGGACCCAGGAGGAGTGTAGTTTACGGGGCGCCTCTGGCCACTGAAGCAGTGGACACGGGATAGCCCTACTGGAAACTGAGGCGCTGTTCATCAGGACACGCTATTGAGCACACATAATCACTGAGTTTATTCTTTTTGTAGTCCCAAGGGTTCCAAGACCAAATCCTGTTTCACACTTGCTTACCATTCAGTAGAGAATAATCCCCTCAGTTACCGCTGTCGGTCCCTTCTAACTTTGATGATGTCACCTCCCTAGGAAGTAAGCCTCAATTAATTATTCCCCTAGATCTGATTATATCACTTTGCACATTTCTCCTATGTCAGTACTTTCTAGCTATGTTCATTTTCGTGACGATTTCGGTTAAGTGTTTTTTCACATGCCATTTGCTGTATTGATTTTTTTCTTTTTCTTTCTTTTCTTTTTTTTTTTTTGAGAGATTTTCGCTATAGGGTGCGTGCGCTCGCCAGACAGACAGAGACAGACATAGAGACAGAAAGCGAGAAATCACCCCCCAGAGGGGATGGTCACGCCGCAATCCCTTCTCCTCCATTCTCCTCTCGGGATCTTGGGCACGCACGCACACGTGCCCGATGTGAATTTTAAGCCACCGGGTCCGGGACGTGAACCGCGTTCGACTACGTGGGAGTCCAGCGACATAGCCATTACGCTAACTGCTGGTTCCCTGGATTAGGATCTTTAATCAGCCTTTTGCAAAAATACCTTAGATTAAGTTTATTGAATTTCTCTAATCACGGCAGCGAATAAACAAGGTTCTAAAACTCCCAAACATTAAGTTTTGGAAAACCGTTGATGGTTTTTTCTACTGGAAAGAGAGATTCACTCATTAACATATATATGGCACCTCAGGACCAATAGGTGGCATGGTGGTTAAGGCGCTGGACACTCCCACATGGCCAACCACAGTTAGAGTCTCTCTCTGTCTCTGGTTAAATTAAAACAAATGAATGAATAAATAAAATTAAATAAACATGCATATGGCACCTATACTTGTTATGTAGAAATGATTTTTTTCTTTTCTTTTTTTTTTGAGAGAGAGATTTTGCTGTAGGGCGGTTACGCTTTCCAGAGAGACAGAGAGACCACAGTCCTTTCTTCTCCATCCTCTTAGGATTTTGGGCATGCACGCATGCATATCCAGTGCCCACCTGAGTTTCAAGCCTCTGGGATTCCAACTACGGTGGGAGTCCAGCCATGTAAGCATTCTGCCATCTGCTGGTCTCTACTGTATTGCTTTCTTCTTCCCAGATGGACCATAGGAACTTGTGTCAGGAGTAGCCTGTCACTTAGATGTATAGTTTACTTTAGGTACCAGGTAGTTCATCTTGCTGCTGAAAGCAAATATCTCTTCCAGAACAGCTAGACAAATGTTTAAGTCTTTTTTTTTTTTTTTCGGTCAACTATTTATTAAACACTTACTGTGTGCGACGTATGGTTTTAGGAATTGAGAATTAAAACAGTACAAACCAGATTGAAGTGTTGCTGCCTTCATGGAGTTTGTTTATTTACTAAATTAAATGTAAATTATCTAGTAGTAAATGTAAAAATTAATTTCAAGGGCCAGCAGGTAGTGCGGTGGTTAAGGTGGCTGGACACCCACATGGCTGACTGCGGTTCGAGTCCCAGACCTGGCAGCTTGCTTTCTCACTTTCCTTTTCTCTCTTAGTCTCTCTCTGGTCAACTTCAGAAAAGTAAACTAAAAATAATTACAATGAATAAAATGAAATAAAACTAGAAAAATTAATTTCATAAAGTGTGATGAAAAAGTAATGGAAATGATGTGGATTTATGTTAGAGTAGCATTCCAAATAGAACTGTCATAGAAGACTTCTTTTGGGAGGTGATGTCTGAGTAGAAACCCAAATGAGGAGTCAGCCTTACAAAGATGTGATTGAACAGACTTTAACTTTGTACCAGTAAGCACAAAGCCCCTTGGGTGGGAATAGAGACCAGAAAATGCAAGCCCTTGGGATGGTTAAGAGGAGGCTGATTTGAGATGAAGAGCAGAGGAAGACAGAGCAAGATTATTTAGGGCCTTGAAGTGTAATTGGAAGCCCTTTGAAAGTTTTAAGCAAGAGTAATTTGATGTGATTAGTGTTTGTTTTTCTATTTAGACAGGGTCTCCTTATGTTACAATCCTCCTGCCTCCGCCTCCTTAGTAGTTGGAACTACATGCCATCATGTTCAATTTAAGTTAATGTTTTTAAGAGATTGCTTTGATGACTATGAAGATAACAGACTTTAAATTAAAGTTTATTTTCCTGATACCACGAGTGTGCATATGATAGAGAAAGAGAGGAAGAAGCAACCTTGACATGGGCTCATCACGCTGCAGTCCCTTTCCCAGGCCCTCCAGCTTGATGGAATCCTGTGCACATGTGGATGCATCAGGCACGTTTTCAAGCCAACCGTGAGATCTGAGCCCATGGCTGTCCATGTGGCTTCTTGCATTGCAGATCAGTTTGTCACAGAGCGCCACAAAGCTAGTATGAGGATGAGCTTTGAGGCAAATGAGGAGGCCAGGTAGCAGGTTATTTCAGGTGTCCAGGAGGAAAAAAATGTTCCGTAAGCATCTGTTTGGGTATTCCCAGTTTGAGGAAATTCTCTTTTTAAGATGTAGCCCATTCATTCCATAGTGAGACCAAAGACTTCTTCCTTTGTATTGAGGTAGAATCTGTCTCCCAAAGCTTGCACTGTTTTTCCCAATCCTGTAGTGAGACATAAGAAAATCTTTTTTTCTCCAAAACAGTCTATCAGTTATTTAAGGCACTGTCCCATCCTCTTTTTTCCAGACCAGAAACGTTTGCTTAAACAGCTGTTCTTGTCTTTTTTTTTTTTTTAATTATTTCATTTTATTTATCAATTATTATCATTTTCTCAGTTTGACCAGAGAAGAAATTAGATTGTTCTTTAGAAGTTCATTTGTTTTGACTCCTTTACATATGGTCAGTAGCAGGAAACACTGCACATGCGCACTAAGTACCAGCTGACATGTGCTGATGATTGAGGAGTCACGTGTTCCCGGATCCGGGTGACTTCTAACATGGTTTTTAGCAGTCATGTTGGGTTGTTGGCTCACATTAGCTGTTTTGAACAATATTTGCTTCCCTTTGCCTCAGCCTGTATTTCTTTAACAATTTTAAATGCAGCATTTTATATTTATCTCTATTTTATTTTGGTATGTTTTATATTGTTCACTCTACCAACTTGTCGAGGTATTTTTAATTGTCCAGCATGTCCTCCCAGCGCTGTGTCTTTTATAAATGTACTATGTTATGTCTTTGAGTGTTTGTATTTTTTTTTTTTTTTGAGAGGTTTTCGCTATAGGGCGTGCGTGCTCGCCAGACAGACAGAGAGAGACAGAGAGACAGAAAGCGAGAAATCACCCCCCAGGGGGGATGGCCACGCCGCAGTCCCTTCTCCTCTATTCTCCTCTCGGGATCTTGGACGTGCATGCACACATGGCCGGCGTGAGTTTTAAGTCACCCGGTCCGGACGCAAACCGTTGTCGACTATGTGGGAGTCCAGCGACATAGCCATTATGCTAACTGCTGGTCCCCTCGAGTGTTTGTATTGTAAACACTGCTAAAAAATGAAAATTGCACAGAGTAAAGAGCCCAATGGCAATTCCCTTAGGAATTCTTCCCAGAGGACAGGGGACTGATAATGTGGAGTCTTTGAGTCGATTGTTTAGCACATTATGAACCCATGGATCTGTTAATTAAAGGAAACTACCCAAAAGTTTCCTTTGTTTAATAGTGACATAAGCAAGATCCAGTGGCACCTCCTGATCTTAGTCTAACAAGTCATTGAGGTTAGTTTGGTCCAATGAAGTTTTGGAAAAACTATGCTAGTTCCTTTTGTCTTTACCAACATGAAGATTAGCTATACTTCAAAATACAAATACTGGGTCAAAGTAGGTAAAAGTAACTTTAGAGAATAATAAGCTCTTCTTGAGCTTAAAAGTTTTTCAAAGCAGAAATTCTTAGACTAGTAGTTCTTAATCTTGGGCAGTTTCAATCCCTGGGGACCAGGGCAGTATAACTTGCTAGCTGGTGGTGAGGGGTGCTACTGACATCTATTGGGTGGAGGCCAGGGAGGCCTAAATATGCCTTGCAATGACAGGACAACACCCCTTCACAAATAATTATCCAGCCCAAAATGTTAGTAGTGCTGAGGTTGAGACACCATTCATTAAATAATGCCTTAAACTCTTTTTTTCTTGCAGTGATTGGTATTCTATTTAAAATGGGTGTAAAGAAGAAGAAAGAAATGCAAGTTGCTGCATTGACCATTTGTCCTCAGGACCTTGAAACTTTGAGATGTAGGTGATTTCTGATTTTGCTTATTGAATATATTTATTTATATTTATTTATAGTTTGCAGGTAGAGTATTTTCATCTCTGGAATCCCGTAGCACATAAACTTTTAATTTTTTCTATGTTCCTTGCATTATTTTAGGTGTAAATGGTTTTCTTGAAATTCTGTCTTCAGATTAAGTTCTGTTTTTATACTTTATAAATTTAAAAATGTTATAGAATACATAACTGAAAATCCATATATTTTTCAATCATTCAATAACTTCTTTGTATGTGTATTATATAGCTTTCACTGATTTGGAAGGGAAAAATCTAGCTTCTTTGCTGTTACATTGCATACAACTCTCAGATGGAGTGTCACAAATTCGTTACGTTAAACAGGTAAGACTGACTGATGTATTCATGGATACATCTTGAAGATTGTGCTGTTCACTATGCAGTTTATCCTAGATGGGAAACCACATTTAGTATGTTGTGATGATGCTCAGGGAAAGAATGTTAGGTAATATAAAAAAACACAAAAAACAAACAAAAAAAAACCCCCAAAAAAACGGTAAAACTGTTCGTATCATTTTGTAAAAGAAAAAAAAAATGCACATTTGATGACTGCAGCGAGCTGTATGGGCACAGCTGGGTACTACTTTATAGAATGTTCATTCTACTCACTGGGGTCTATGCCTAAAAGTCAGACTTGGGTACATGTATAGGTATGTGTCAGCTGTGCTAGCTATTGGATATATTTAGACTAATTAAGTTCATTGGCAGAACAATTGAATTGGGGGGGGAGGGCATGGAGGGCAGCCGTGGATGCCAGGGACATCCCTGGCATGTCCCTGGTACTTACTGGGGGAAGAGGATGGGACATAGCAGAGGGTGGGGGATGGGGAATCAAGGATGGCAAAACAAAAGGCAAGGTATACAGGACATAAGAATTGGAAAATTATTTTGCTGAGAACATGTATGTTTATGTGCTTGATTGAGCCAATTCACAGTGTATTTTGGATGGAAAAAAAAAATCAGAGGGAAGATGTCACAGACTGCATTGACAGATTAATAGTGGATATAAGAAGGTAAGGAATTATGATGTTAAAATTTCAAGTTCAAGTTCTAGGTCACTGAAAATGTTGGAGAATAAGAATAGCTGGAGCTCATTTAAAACGAGATTGACAGGGGCCAGCAAGTGGCATGGTGGTTAAGAGCGCTGGATTCCCACATGGCCGACTGCGGGTTGAGTCCCGGACCTGGAGGTTTGCTTTCTTGCTTTCCCTTCTCTCTCTCTTCTCA